GTAAAGTCACATAATATCCTCCCACCTTCCCGTTGCCTGATGACTCCATCACTAACTGCGTCTAACGAGGCAAGATCACAGCCCGGGAGCCCGACCCGCTCCGCCTCTACATCACGCATGAGCTACTTACAAAATCAGGACGGATGCTGCTGCCACCTCCTCCTCCTCTACTCCCCTCACCATCACCGGCAAGTCCCCTTCTCGTCCTGCCTCCTCATCTGTTCCCATCCTGGGCTCCTATTGCCCTCCCGCCAGGCCCCACTTCGAGCCTCATTCCTGTCTGAATAATGTGTCTGGGTTTCAGGTGGACACATTATTCAGACAGGCCTAAATATACTGCCCCTGTGTGGAGTCTCTCATGGGGCCCCCTACTGACCCCAGGTCCTCGGGCAGCCCCTGGCTCACGTAACTCTGCACTGTAAAAACCGGCAGGCACAGAAGTGTGTAAGACATTAGTTTTTTCTTTAACACATGGCATTCTTTCTTCTCTCAGCTACTATACGGGAAGGTGGGGAGTAAAAGGAAGGGAAATGGCACAGGTTCACTTTAAACTTTTACCCACCAGGTCCATGCAGCACACGACCGACCTATAACAACGCCTCCAGCTGGCCAGGTCCATACGCTCTACGCACCGGTCATTTTTACTTCTGCTGTAAGCTCATGGTCACTTCAGTGACTATGAACTTATAGCAAAGCTTTCAGCAGGCTGCTGAACAAACTGAAAGCTCTGATTGTGGCTGACAAGCCACTGATCAGAGCTATTCACCTAAAATATGCCCCTCCACTATCATTTCTCTCCTGTCTCTCCACCTGCAGACGCTGAAGTGCCCCCTCTCCCCCCTCTCTTATGTCCTCTTTCCTTGCTGCTTCATTTACTCCCCCAGCACTGATATCCCCTCCCTTCGCAACCCTGATCCCCTGTAGCTACCCTGCAGCTGCTGGCCTCTCCTCCCTTCCTGCTGGCTTCTTGTGCTATGGGGAAGCCACAGGGGCTTTACAAATATATGCCCCTGCCACTCCCGACCCCCTTGCAATGGACCCCACCCCATCCCTCCTGCCAGCTTCAGCTCTGCTGGGAAACAGATGGGAGATTGAAGTTAGGATAGAGAGCAGGAGGGGGGCGTGAGCTTTATTGGAGGGTTAGTAAACATATGCCCCTTCCTTTCCTGAATGAGCACAGTGAGCGATCAGTACCTATTGCTTCTGTGTTCATCACTAAAGAATAGTGATTTAAAAAAAGGGACAAATTATTTTTAAAAAAAATTAAAAATTTATTTTGTTTGCCTAAGAAAGGGAAGAATAGCCTTACCCAATATATGATTATACAATCTATCGTGTCTGTTGAGACATGCTGTAGACTGGATTGAGGGTAAATCCAGGTTTTCAAATAGTGAGTTGGAATCAAATATGACATTCATTATTATATATGTGCTCCAACTTTGGAGGCTTTCAAAATTTATAGAGTTAGGACTGCAGTACACTAGGTGCCATGGAGTGGCCCTGCAGCTTACAGATATTATTTGCAATTGTGGGCAAATGAAATCCCTGGTTTTAATGTGAACTGTTAGACAGGACAATTTGGTTTGTTGAAGGTTGGCTGGTAAGTGAGCTGGGAATTTTCATTTGTTGTTTGACATGTGTCGCACTTCCATGTGCTTCTTGCTGTAAAGGCATAGGTTGGGGTGGTTGCCATTTGTTTGTTCACATATGACAAAACCTTGGAACCTTGTGCATTGTCCACCTGTGAAATTGCCTATATTGAATCTCCACAATATCTTGATTAGAGATACAGTGATGGCGTGGAGAGAAGTGGGAAAATATATTCATAAATCTCTGTATTGCACAAAATATTTTCCTATTAGAAGTAATCCAGCATTCCTGCAGGGGAACAACATATAGCTTTTTGCAGATAGGCAAATCAGGGTTTGACACATTCTACATCAATTGTTTCATATGGACATGGGGAATCCATATACTTTTAAGGTTTTAAGTCACACATATTATATTCCCCTATCAGATTATTTTTATTTGATGCAAGTGTCTTCTTACATAGCATCCTATACAAGACATGTCTACTCCCTTCCTGGACATGCTAGCAGAAATAGCAGATTTATCTATACCTGTTATTTATCCACTGATTAGCGCTTCTGATTTAGGTACATCTAATATCCAAAAATGGTCCCAGGATTTTCAGGTGGACAACATAGTACGGGTGAAACTCGAAAAATTAGAATATTGTGCAAAAGTTCATTTATTTCAGTAATGCAACTTAAAAGGTGAAACTAATATATGAGATAGACTCATTACATGCAAAGCAAGATGGTTCAGGTTGTGATTTTTCATAATTGTGATGATTATGGCTTACAGCTCATGAAAACCCCAAATCCACAATCTCAGAAAATGAGAATATTGTGAAAAGGTGCAATATTCTCGGCTCAAAGTGTCCCACTCTAATCAGCTAATTAAGCCATAACACCTGCAAAGGGTTCCTGAGCCTTTAAATGGTCTCTCGGTCTGGTTCAGTAGGAATCGCAATCGTGGGAAAGACTGCTGACCTGACAGTTGTGCAGAAAACCATCATTGACACCCTCCATAAGGAGAGAAAGCCTCAAAAGGTAATTGCAAAAGAAGTTGGATGTTCCCAAAGTGCTGTATCAAAGCACATTAATAGAAAGTTAAGTGGAAGGGAAAAGTGTGGAAGTAAAAGGTGCACAAGCAGAAGGGATGACCGCAGCCTGGAGAGGATTGTCAGGAAAAGGCCATTCAAAAGTGTTGGGGACTTTCACAAGGAGTGGACTGAGGCTGGAGTCAGTGCATCAAGAGCCACCACACACAGACGGATCCTGGACATGGGCTTCAAATGTTGTATTCCTCTGGTCAAGCCGCTCCTGAACAACAAACAACGTCAGAAGCGTCTTACCTGGGCTAAAGAAAAACAGACCTGGTCTGTTGCTCAGTGGTCCAAAGTCCTCTTTTCTGATGAGAGCAACTTTTGCATCTCATTTGGAAACCAAGGACCCAGAGTATGGAGGAAGAATGGAGAGGCACACACTGCAAGATGCTTGAAGTCCATTGTGAAGTTTCCACAGTCTGTGTTGATTTGGGGAGCCATGTCATCTGCTGGTGTTGGTCCACTGTGCTTCATTAAGTCCAGGGTCAATGCAGCCGTCTACCAGGAGATTTTGGAGCACTTCATGCTTCCTTCCGCAGACTAGCTTTATGGGGATGCTGACTTCATTTTCAAGCAGGACTTGGCACCTGCCCACACTGCCAAAAAGCACCAAAACCTGGTTCAATGACCGTGGGATTACTGTTCTTGACCAGCAAACTCGCCTGACCTGAACCCCATAGAGAATCTATTGGGCATTGCCAAGAGAAAGATGAGAGACATTAGACCGAAGAATGCAGAAGAGCTGAAGGCCGCTATTGAAGCATCCTGGTCTTCCATCACACCTCAGCAGTGCCACAGGCTGATAGCTTCCATGCCACGCCGCATTGATGCAGTAATTGCTGCAAAAAGGGGCCCAAACCAAGTACTGAGTACATATGCATGCTTCTACTTTTCAGAGGTCCGGTATTGTTCTATGTACAATCCTTGTTTTATTGATTGCATGTAATATTCTAATTTTCTGAGATTGTGGATTTGGGGTTTTCATGAGCTGTAAACCATAATCATCACAATTATGACTTGAACTATCTTGCTTTGCATGTAATGAGTCTATCTCATATATTAGTTTTCACCTTTTAAGTTGCATTGCTGAAATAAATGAATTTGTGCACGATATTCTAATTTTTCGAGTTTCACCTGTATATAAAATACTCCAGAGATACCGAAAGGGGTCTGTAAAATTATAATATACGAAGTACGACTGTGAGACGCAATATAAGATAATGCATTGTGCATATCTACCAATTCAAGGTTATGACCCACAGACAGGATTTGACCATAGATGCCCAAAATGTGAAGACAGGCTGTAAATCCAGAATATGAGTGATGACCGTATATTATATATTTCATATCTTAGGCAGGCCATAGATGAGTCGAAATCTGAATGTTCTGTCGATCAATAAACAAAAATGGCGTATACGACTGTGCCATCATTTGTTTTGTTTTTTTAACAAAATGCAGCATGTTGGATCAGGCACTTTCTATTGCGACACATAAATCGGGTGTCACGGCTGGCACACAAATGATCACTTGTCTATGGCTTGCTTTCGATTCTAGATTTCTCTTTATCTTAGAAAAATATATATTATGAGAGAGTTGTGATGGTGACTAGAAATTATTGGCAAAGGAAATATATAGGAATTTTGTGGGTAGAATTGGTCTTATGATGGGTTATAGAGAGATGGAGTCAGGAAAAGATTGGTACAATTAACATTATGAAATTATTTTAAAATTGTCATAAAATGTAATGTCCGGTGATTGATATTTGACACTGTAGAATAATTGTAGTATAGATATTGGACTCCCTCTTTGTTTTAATGTGTAATTTAACCTGTATAATAATTTTGTTTGCTTTGTGTAAAGAAAATTGAAAAGAATTACTAAAATGCTTGAAATAAAAAAAATTAAATTAACCACTTGCCTACCAGGCACTTATACCCCCTTATTTACCAGGCCAATTTTCAGCTTTCAGCGCTGCCGCACTTTGACAATTGCGCGGTCATGCAACATTGTACCCATATGAAATTTTGATAATTTTTTTTTCTCACAAATAGAGCTTTCTTTTGGTGGTATTTAATCGCCACTGGGCGCTTTACTTTTTGCGCTATAAATAAAAAAAAGTGCAAAAAATTTGAAAAAAAAAAAAGTTGCTTTGTTTCTATTATAAAATTTTTCAAACAGGTATTTTTTCTCCTTCACTGATGTGCGTTGATGAGGCAGCACTGATGGGCACTGATAGGCAGCACTAAAGGGCACTGATAGGCAGTACTAATGAGGTGTCACGGATAGGCGGCACTAATATGCAGCACTGATAGGCGGCACTGATAGGTGACACTGATGATGGGTACTGATAGACGGCACTGACTGGCATCACTGCTGGGCACTGACTGGCGGCATTGACTGGCACAACTCCTGGGCACTGACTGGTGGCACTGACTGGCAGCACTGCTGGGCTGCACTGGTGGGTGGCACTGGTGGGCAGCACTGGTGGGTGGGCACAGGTGGGTGGCACTGGTGGGCACAGGTGGGTGGCACTGCTGGGCACAGGTAGGTGGCACTGCTGGGCACAGGTGTGTGACACTGCAGAGTGGCACAGGTGGGTGCACTGCTGGGCACAGGTGGGTGCACTGCTGGGCACAGGTGGGTGATCTGCTGGGCACAGGTGGGCGGAGCTAGTGGGCGCACTGCTGGGCACAGGTGGGCGGAACTTGCGGGTGGCACTGCTGGGCACTGATCATCAGGGCACTGATCACCAGTGCCCTGATGATCGGTGCCGATCCTCGCTCTTACAACTGCCGGTTCTCGGCAGTACTTTCCTCACGATCTGACAGCGTGAGGAAAGTGCAGCCGAGAACCGGCACTTGCATTTCCCTCTGATCAGCGTGTCGTTGGACACCACTGATCACGTGGTAAAAGGCCGCTGTGATTGGCCTTTTACCACATCACGTGATCAGCTGTGTCCGTAGGACACAGCGATCACGGAGATCGCCAGGTGCGCGCCCCCTGGGGCGCGCAGGAGAGCGCGTTCTGGGAGGACGTCATATGACGTCCACTCAGAACTGGCCGGCCGCAGTGAAGCCGTCATTCGGCTATCTGCGGTCGGCAGGTAGTTAAACAAAAAAAAAGCCATAGTAAGGCCTCGTTCACACAGGGCACAAGGTGTTTCACGCATCCCTGCGCAGTCAGTTCCATTAATGTCATTTAGGGATGTAGCAACTGCACAAACACAGCTGTTGCTCCCAATTTGACATCCGTGTGGGTCCAGGTGCATGTCCCTGAGCTCACATTGTCTGCGTTCAGGGCCATGCACCCGCACCCACACAGATGTCAGCCATTGCATCCCAATTAACATGAATGGGACTGCCTGCACTGGGATGCACAAAACACCTGTGCATCCCATGCAGGTAAACACGGCCCTCAACAGGCTTACACTTCAGTATGCCCCACATGAATGAGGCCTCAGTAAGAACTTTGTAAGTTATGATGTGTTTGTGTGTGCTAATATTCATTTTAGTGTTTTTATTTTGATGAAAATAGCGATTCAATAAATATTTGTTCAATTATTGGAGGGCCTAAAAAAAATAAGCATTTTTTTTTCTACAGGTCATGTTCTTTCAGAAAATGTTTAGTTTGGATGGTCTTTTACAAACTTTGAAAGGTTTAAGTGAAAAAATAAAACCTCCAGATTTTTGGAGTAAATAGTTTTTATTTACGGTTTTGCACACCTTCAGTTTTAACCATTTCACAAAAAGGTGCAATTTAAAATTGACAAATATTTGTTGACCCTTATAGAGCTTAGTGGCACCGCTCTGAAGCTGGTTCAAAAGGAAGAGTCACCCCACTGGCATAGGAATGAAGTGAGCAGCATCCTAGCCACACACTCTGATGCGTTTCACCCCGCCCACTGGGAGCATTATCACAGAAGCATCTGTGACCAAGCCCGATGGGCAGGGCAAAATACGTCAGAGGGTGTGGCTAGTGCGGTGCTGAGGTCACTCCATATACTCAACACGCCTGACTCCTGGGGCTGGTTCTGAGCGGCGTCCTCTCCCCTTTACTTTATTACAAATATTTGTTATTTATTAACTCAATAAAGTTTTAGCCTTTATATTTAGTAAGAATTTAGTAGGAATCTTGTAAGTTTTGCCATGTATGTATCCACGAATAATGATTTTAGTGTATGTTTAGTGAAAATATTGTTTTGATAAACATTTGCGTAAATATTACAGGACCTAAAAAAAATTGGTAGCACCTTCTTTTTATTTTACTGGTCCTATGCTTTCCCAAACTCTGAAAGCTGTAAGTGAAAAAAAAAAAACAATGGAAAAATTGCAGAAACGGTCCGCCTCCTGAGTTTAAAAGTGGAGTGCAGGGCTTGGCAGCAAAAGGGTTAAAATATATTATGTATCCCTTAAAGCCGTGGAATGTCATATGTGCAAATTATGTCTTCTAAGTAGTTCATCTCTTTAACTCTTGCAGGGTTATAATGAAGTGTCGCACTATTTCGGTTCTATAAGACAAGTTCGAGGCGATAACTACTGTGCCTTAAGAGCGACATTATTTCAGTGTCTTAGTCAAAGTACAGAACTTCCACAATGGCTGAGCAATACCGATTTATTTCAGGTAAGTTTCCGTTGCCTAACTTCCATTTACAAAGTTACTTTTATTGGTCCTCCCCACACAGTAGTTCCAATTCCACACCCCACCATCAACTTCTGCCCTAGCCCAACATCACTTCTACACCAGCAGCTCTTGCCCATTCCCTTTAAAGGGACTGTACACCATATAATAAAGAAAGATAATAATGTTTTTGAAAAAACATGAGTCAAAGTGTCCATACATTTCAGTCTTTGTCTGTGAAAAATAATTTGCCTGTAGATATGGTTGGATCACCTCAAAAATCAAATGGAAAACTTTTGTAGTTTTATAGATCATAATTTTGAATTAAATCAAAAGATCTCAGCAAACATGCATGTAGAAAATACCTTCAAAATGATGCAACATTTTTTCTTCCTAAAATATAAAACCGCTTTATACTTACCTGCTTAGTGGCAGGTATTTCACAGAGCAGCTTCAACCTGTTCTGTGGTCCTCCACTGGTGCTGTCTACTCCTCCTTTTCTGCAAGGTCCTCCATAGTAAACTGCTTCCTATGGGGGCACTTGTGCAAGCATGCTCCTGGGCCAGGCTGTGTGTGTCTATTGCACAGAGCGCAACTTGGCCCCACCCCCCACTCTCTCCTCACTGTTTTTGAATGGAATCAACGGAGGTCATTGGTAGAGCCTCCAGTGAGACCAGGAAGAGGAAGAGGCATTGTTATAAAACCTTTTGCCTTTGGAACCACTTTAAAGTGTATGTAAAGTCAAGACCAAAAAGTTGAGGGTTATTGAAGTCTTAAACTGTCAAGGTATATTGCCACCTATTAAAAGATTGGACACTGCCAAACAAAATTCTTAGGTTTTTTTTTTTCATGTATTAAGAGGAAGGTATATTATGTTTACTTGTTTTAAACTTTTTTTTTTTTTTCTCTATAGTTGCTTCCTGGTTTTTGGCCTGGGTCAAAACTATGTCATACATTCCAGCATCTTTTTTTTCATCTGGAGGGAGGAGTTGCTTTCTCAGTTAACTTGCCTACTGGGCACTTTTACCCCCTTCCTGCCCAGTCCAATTTTCAGCTTTCATCGCTGTCACATTTTGAATGACAATTGTGTGGTCACGCAACACTGTACCCATGTGACATTTTTATAATTGTTTTCATACAAACCGCTTTCTCTTGGCGGTATTTAATCACCACTGGGCATTTTATTTTTTGCACTATAAATGAAAAAAAGAGAAAAAATGTTTCCTTTGTTTCTATTATAACATTTTGAAAACAGGTAATGTTTCTTCTTCACTGATGTGTGTTGATGAGGCTGCACTGATAAGTAGCACTGGTGGGCACTGATAGGCAGCACCGATGAGGCGGCACTGAAGGGCACTAATAGGTAGCACTGAAGGGCACGGACTGCCAGCACTGTTGGGAATTGATGGGCAGCACTTTTGGGGCTGCACTGTTTATCAGTGCAGATGTCTGCTTCGACAGTGACTTTGACAGCGTGAGGAAAGTACTGCTGATAACCGGCAAGTGTATTTACATAGTGGCCAGTTGTGATTGGACACAACTGATCATGTGGTAAAAGGCCACTGTGATTGGCCTTTTACCATGTCATGTGATCAGCTGTGTCCAAAGCACACAGCGATCACAGGCAGCGTCAAGGGGTGTTCTGGGAGGACTTCATATGACACCCTCCCAGAACTGGACTACCACGGTGTAACTGTCATTCAGCTATAGCGCTGTAATAAAATAGTCAAACACAACCTCCTTCCAGCATGCCTGACAAGCTGATCAGCTGTGTCCAATCACATCTGATCCTATAGAAACAAATGTCGGCTATCGGCATTTCCTTTCCTCACACGTTGTGCTGTCACAGGATTGCCGATAACTGGCAATCCTGTAACAGCACACATTTACACTGATGAGGGCACTGATCATCAGTGCAGCCTATTTGTGTCCATCAGTGCAGTCTCATCAGTGCAGCCTATCAGTTCCCATCAGCGAAGAAGAAAAACTATTTATTTGCAGAATTTTATACCAAAAACAAAGAAAAACATTTTTTTTTTTTTTCAAAAGTTTTGGTCTTTTTTTTTTTTTTCATTTCTCTAACAATTGAAAAAACCCACCAAAAAAGGCTCTAACGGCATAAAAAAAGATAAAAATGTCACATGAGTACAGTGTTGCATGACAGCGCAATTGTTTTTCACCATGAGACTGCTTTGAAAGCTGAAAATTGGCCTGGGCAGGAAAGGGGTGAAAGTGTCAAGTATTGAAGTGGTTAGGGTCAGATGATCTGAAACCATACTCTAAATTTATAACATGAATATAGAAAACCATTACAGCTTAAAAAATATTAAAAGTGGTATGTTTTTTATCTGATTATTTAAAAAAATACCAGATGGACCTGCCTGAAATCTAGGGAGCCCATTTGTTCCTGTGCACACTGTGCTGTTTTATCTGAAGCTGTGTTATCAACCATAACAAATTTCGCCACTGTAAACTACAGAACATTTCCTGTGTTGAGGATGAGGAGAAAGCAAATTGTTCTGTAGTCCTAAAACACTTCCTGTTTTACGGCGACAGCTCTGTGTATAGATACATACAGTAAAGTGAGTGAGTGTTTGTTACTTTAGGACAGGGGAGTGCGTTACTGGTAAAAAGAAATAGTCTAAAAAAAAGAAAACCAGTGCAGCCACCAAATCTATGGAGTGGAGTTACTGTATTGTATTTATACTGTTCATTTAGTAGCTAATATAAACATAAAATATCCAAGTGTTTATGATATATATTATCTTTTCAATTTGCCCTTTCAAAGTTGGAATACTTCTGCAAGGCCAGAATGTACTAGAGTAACCAATTCTTTTGTTCATTGAATCCAGTTATTCCAAGCATTTAGCCCACATTATTTTCCTCTTTGTAATTGTCTGTGATGATTGTATAGTTTGTTTTTAAAGAAACAGACTATACTCCATTTCATAATAAATGTAATATGTGTGAACATTTTTGATGATCTTATGCTAATCCATATTTATGCCAAATTTTCATGTTTTTGGGTTTTTATTGCCATTTAAGGAGCCAGGAGACGATTTTTGTTAAGCAGTTGTATGGCCTAACCATTGACACACCTCTGCTTTTCAAAAAATAAAGAAAAGAAAAAATACTCAAGCACATTATAAAGCACAGCTTTCGGACTCTGAACCAAGCATATTAACCTCCCTAGCGGTCTGATTATGTCCATATTTCTGTGCTCAAGGTGGTACATTTTTTTGCATGGAAATATATTTTTTTTATTGTAGGCCTGTAATTTTTAGGAATAACTCACTGAAATCTGTCCGAACAAGAGTCTAGTAAACATCCCGGGTATGTTACAATTTGAAACACGAAATCATAAATTATAATTTAATAAATAATCATAAAAAATAATATAATAATAATAAATTTAACTCCATGTTTGTAAGCTGGAGAGACAGAAAACATCATTTCATAAAATCTACTGGCTTTTAAATGTGTTAGAAAACACAAGGCTAGTTAACCTCCATAGCGGTCTGATTATTTCAGATTTTTGGTGCTGAAAGCGGTACCATTATTTTGCATGGAAATATGTAGTTTTTTTTATTGTAGGCTGTAATATTTAGGAATAACTCACTGAAATCTGTCCGAACAAGAGTCTATTAAACATCCCGATTAGGATAAAATGTGAAACACGAAATCATAAATTATAATTTAATAAATAATCATAAAAAATAATAAATAATAATAAATTTAACTCAATAATATAATCAAACCAAAAACACTGAAATTTGAAATATAGCGCCAAGTTCGCACATCACTGAGCTCAGACACTGAATCGTTTTCACTCAATTCTGCAAGTGGTTCTGATTTACTATCGCTGTTCTCTAGCTGGTCTAAAACCACTTTTGACCTAAAGGGACGCTTTTTGGACGCCATGGACTTTACTCAGTTTCCAGGCAGAAAGAACAGTAAAAATGCAGGCAGGTCACAGGACAAAGCACTAGGGACAAAATGTATGTGAAATGGTTTGGTACAGTAATGTTTTACTATGTGATTTTCGTGTATTTAGTGAATGTCACATTTTGTCATTTTCAAATTTCCTGCCGTTCCGTCCCCTGTATGTTCCGACGCTTGCAGGGGACGGAACCCAGAAGACAGATGCCGGCATCCGCCGGAGGACATTACAGGGGACACTGCAGGGAGCACATCGCGGGAACGCAGGACAAGGTAAGTGAAGAACAGATCCCGGAGCAGCGCCGCATGGTAAGCCCGAGTGTAGCTTGGGGTTACCACTTGTGGTGCTGAAACTTTACCCCGAGCTACACTCGGGAATACCGCCAGGGAGGTTAATGGATGGGAAAAAATTATAAAGTGCCAGGAGGAGGGGAAAACCTGTTGTATGACCTTAAGAGGTCATGTGACAGGGTTTAGCTTTTACCTGTGAGTGTTCTTCAGCATTATACAGAGAACACTCCATAGTGCACAGCAGGCTACACACTGCCCTCTGAATTTTGCATTTGTAACATAAATAGTGGGGGTAGTGGGAGTGTGGAATAGTCACTGGATGTTTTGTTGAAAGCGTTATCTACTTTGTTATAAGTAGAGCACTCAGTGACATTACAAACTGACACCAGGCAACCATCATCATAAATACTAGACTTGGTATGCTGCATTCTCTACTTGAACCTTCTGCATATCCTGGGCACTGCCATAGACAGTGATGGCCATCCTGGCCATATGTGTTGTATATACCCCTTAGACCTTGTTCACTTCTAAAAAGAGCTCAGGTGATTTAGTGAGCAAATGTGCATTTTTGAAGTGTCCTGTGCAGACTGAGATTCAGTTCTGCAGTCACTTTTGCGGCTGTTGTTTTCTTATTTCGGGTCACAATCCTGCGCAATGTCCTTTTTGCCTCTTTCGGTCAGTTGACCACGTCGACCACGCTTATACTTATCAGGCATCTTTTTCTCAGAAACTGTATATGCTGTCATAACCTGTGATAACTGTACTGCGTGACA